CCCCCCCCCCCCCCCACCCCTACTCCGTGTTAAGAGATTGTTCCCTCAATGACACCAATATATTTTATTTTCTTTATAGTACATATTTTTGTATAATCTGCCATATATATCGTCAAATATTGAATAACGATTGTTTATATAAATGATTCTACGAATATGGTCATTAGCACACATGCAATAAGTATTGAAAGATATCTAATTATTCAATAGCTATTCAAATTATTTTTTAATACTCCCTAATAACTTATTCTTACTTGAATTATGAAATAAGGCATTTTTTATTCAATGCGGACATTTTTAAAATTCATTTGTAGTCGTTTTGGATTGTTGTCATTTTCTGTCATTTTAGAATTTTTAATTGTAAAACGTTAGGCGTTAGAATAAATAGGTCTGGTCATATTGTGAATAAAACGATATGTTTAAGCTTCATTTGGGTTTCAAGAGGTTTTAAAATATGGAAAATAATGTTTGAGAAAACATATTGTAGAAGTCACGTTTGAAATATGAGTTTAAATGAACCTATACTTACACTGACGAGCGTGATATATATTAACGTACTCCTAAGTTTGGCGCAAAGGAACCATTAATGCATTGTTCTAAAAAATTAAATGACTACTGGTGCACTTTTTAAAATTATTGGGGAATCTATTTAATTTTTGAAGAGTTCAATTCATTGGTAAATGATGCAAAACACTAATTTAAACTTAAATATCATATTGATATTTTCATTTCTATGATTCAGTGTCGAAGCTATTTCAGAATGTTTTAAAATTCTAGAATGATATTCAACGTGTTTTGGAGTTTATATTTAAGTTCAATGATGGATTTCGTATAAAAACAACAAAAATGCTAGGAGGACACTATAATGGTGACACAATTCAAATGCTCCTAATCCGAACTCAATTACGTTATTATCTTCATTAACCCCCTAAATCACTCTCGGAAAGGAATTAATTAACTCGGATCGGAGATAAATGGGTGCCTTCTTTGCTTTTTGATGGGCGAATGTATTTATAATTTATTTTTCTCCCCCGACCAACTCATTTTGGGACTAATTTGAGGACATATGGCGCTAACTAAGATTTACTTTGGAATAATCGAAAAAATTGTTTTTGCAAAGCCATATATCCCGTTAATACTAACTATTTTCCTAAGTATTTATCAAGTTTTATTTTTTTTTTGGCGAATTGTTTTCAATTTTTATTTATAATTAAATACAATAGATATTGTATATTAATTAGATAAAATAATATTTTCAAAATATTTTATATAAAAAATCTAATAAAATTATTTTTATATCAATATCTAATATCATTTCTATTTAATTTTAGATCACAGTTTACCAATTTTGAGCGAAAAAATAAAAAATGGACAAATAGTCAGAGACGGAGAAGGTAATAATGGTAATGATAATAATAAAAATAATAATAATAATAATAATAATAATAATAATAAAACACTTTTGAATTGGAAAACACTCAAACTCAATTACATACTCTTCAATAACCCCCAAATCACTCTTGGAAAGGAATTAATTTACTGGGATCGGAGAAAAATTAATGCGTGCCTTCTTTGCCAATCGCTTTTTTTGATGGGTGAATTGGCTTTTCCTTATCGCTCGACCAACATATAATTGCGGGATTAATGTGTGGACATATGGCGCTAATAAATAGGCTTTAATTTGAGGAAAAAAAAGAAAATGTGAAGAGTTATCCTAAAGTCACAATTCACAAACACCTTGTTGGGATTTTAAGTGCGTAAGATACCGAAAAATATTGAGAGCACCAGAAAAATTAGAGATTAAACACAAGAAGAATATATGAGAGAAAAAAAATTATATTTGAACTTTTTCAGGACAATATACAAAAAACTCTCCCCTGTTTACAAGGCTAAATTCCAGACACTCTTAAACAGATATTTCCACATCCTATCCCCGAGGGTATTTTTCCGAGTAACTAAAACCAGTTACTCCCTACACTCACCCACACTCACCAAGACCCCTTGGTTTTTTCCGGTAGTATTCTTGTGTAGAATTCCTCCCATGCTTCTCTCTCTACATTGGTGGTGTGTAAAACCCACACACACATATTCAATCAAAAAATTGCTACTGGGTACCCCTAGTTTTGTGATAAAAACTCGCAGGTCCCATTATTTTTTAAAATATACTCTGAGGTACCTTAAAATTTTAGAAAAATGACTCCGAGGTGACAATCCGTTAATTTCCCTGTTAATGCCCTTCTCCGTTATCTTTCTTCATTTTCTATCTTCTTCTCCTTCTCCTTCTCCTTCGTCTTCTCCTTCTTCTTCTTTTTCTTTTTCTTTCTGCTTCTTCTTCCTCTTCCTCTTTTCCTCCTCCTCCTTTGCCTTCCGAAGTGATCCTCCACCCCACCCCCTCTTTTTTCTTCTTTTACTTTTTGTTTTGGATTCTTTTTTCTTCTTCTTCCATTATAATTATTATTATTTGTTATTAATTATTATAATTACTTCGTATCAATTATGATTTTCTTATTCTATTATTATTAATTTTTTATTTATTATTATTACTATTATTATTTAAAATTAAT